CCTGAGCCTCAAATATTAGAAAATTTTCCTATGTGCACAATCAAAACATCAAATTTAATCTAAAAGTTAAAATTTTAACACTAAAGGAATGAATCTAAGGAATGTTGTCGCTTAATTAGTATGCTTAGAAATGCATTTCTACAGGAATAACCAAAATCAGTAGAAATCTTGAATAATAAATCAGATCTAAGTAAATGTTAGCTAATAAATATGAAAACGAAATAAGATTACGAATCCTGACGTATACTAATTAAAAGGGCTATAGCTCACATTTGAACTTGGGAAATTTTCTCGGAGGAATTAATTCTTCAATAATTAATTCACCTTTCACTACACGCTGCCAATAAATAACTCAAACGAAAATAAATTTGAATAATCTTGACGAATTGAAAATCTATTCCATCGGACACTTAACAGAGAGCACCAAAAATTACCCAAACTACAACATTTTCGGGGGAAATTAGTCGGATTTTACTAACATTTTAAATATGTGCTTACGACCGCGCCAAGGAAATTAATTACACTCATCATTTATCGTGGAGTTCATTAGTTGACACGGTAAAATGAGTTCTGTAAAATCTAGACTTTAATTTTCTTCCAAGGTTGTAAATATTTTGTAAGAATGAGAAAAGAGAGGAAGTTGGTGATGTAACGATTGGGATTCTAATTGAGATGGTAATAAAGCTGAAAGAATGAGAGTTAATAAAATCTTAAATTCAACATTTTATTTAATCTCAACAGGTGATCTTAACATTTATGTGACGAAGCAAAAGTATGTGATTCCGCTTCTAAGTTTGAACAAAACTTTACTTAAATACCAAAGTAATATGTACATATATATTTGATTAAATTAATAAAATATTAGAAAGCACACTAATTTGCGGATATTATCGTGTGAGTTGACGACGAAATTACATATTTTTGTTATTTTGCTTTCTGGCTTTTCTAAAATATTTTTTCTTGCTTTCTTTGTATTTTTTCTTATTTTAAGGGTTCTATATACTTGCAGCTTATGCGCATAATGCGCCTAACTTATGCCTATTAAAGAGTTTATAATTTTTTGGCGTAGTTTAAGTGTGTCTTTTTAAGTGTGTCTTTTTTGTCTCTTTCACCAACAAAAACAAATAAATAAAAAAGAAATTCGAGTTCTTAAATTAAAAAAAAAAAGTATTTTTAAAATACATATGTTGCCACTTAATGTGAATATTAGCTAGCTAGATACATTAAAATGCCACAAAAATTGTTTCAATTCTAAATTTACCAAGGTGACCTACAAAGTAAAGTAGTTTATTTACACACTATATTACCTACTAAAGTAAAAAATAAGATGTTTGCAAAAAAAAAAAAAAAAAACAGAAACATTTCTTTACACTGAAATTAACATAATGTTATTTATTGTTCGCTATTTATAAAGTTAGTGCAATCAAACAATCAACAAATTAGTTGAATCAATCGTAGATCACTTTAAAAACATAATTGAATATTAAAAAGAATCAAACAGTTTCAAATATTATTACATTTAAAGTAATTAATATAATACCATTCATTTATTTTTCGGTGTCCAAAGATTCAAGTCAATACAATCTAACAACAAATTATTTAACTTTCACTATACGGAAACCGTTATTGCACACATTATCTAGGTAAATTGCGGAAAATTCCGCTCTTAAACGGATCTACTAATTCACAGATTATCAATTTACACCAGGTAAATTCTGTACTTAAGCGGATCACCTAAGTTAATCTGCAAATTAGCTAATTAATGTACATATTAACGGCTTTTAAGCTTCAGCGTCAATATAAACTATCTTGATAGAAAAAAATTGCTGGTGAATTTGCTGTTCACTGCCTTCTAACCAAATATTAATTGGTAGAAGCGACATAGTTAGCAAAAAAGAAACTATTCATTACTGTTTTCTTTATAACAAAAAACTAAAAAAAAGGGACAAAATACTGGAGTTAGAATATTAAAATTCCAAATTGTAGAAGTAACTACAATTTGTTTTAATCTTTAAAAATTTCTTTTTTAGAAAAATTTTCTTTAACGAAAATATATTAAATACAAATGTAGTTTAAAGGAATTAAAACGTTAAAGACGTAAACATTTGTTTTAAACCTTTAAACATTTCAATTTTTTTTTTTAGGAAAATTTTCTTTAACGAAAATTTGTTAAAAACAAATATAGTTCAAGGGATTCAAAAGGTGCATTTGCTTTAACCTTTAAACATTTCTAATTTTTTTTTTTATCATTATTGTTTTATTAAGAAAATATTCTTTAACGAAAATATGTTAAAAACAAATGTAGTTCAAGGGATTAAAAAAAGTTAAAAAACGTAAGCATGAATAATAGACAGAGGAAAAATAAACATCTTACATCCTAAAAAAAAAAAAAAAAAAACTTAAAACCTGATCGTTTCATTTTATTAAAATCGCAGTATAAAAAAAAAATTGTTTTTTATTAATATGTTTAAAAACTAAAAGATTACATAAATTTCAAGACAATAATAAATAAAATGTAAATAATGTAAACAAAAATACTAAAAAAATTAAAGAAAAACTATTATTTTATTTCAATAGAAAACATTAGAAAATGAATTGAACTGGTTTTGGAAATTCTACTAACGAAATATCAAATATCTCTTCCCATTTAAACAAGAACTAAAACTTGAATGCTGAGAGAAAAAAAAAAGAAAACTTAGCAAAAAAAAAAAAACCCGAAAAAAAATCTAGACAAAATAAAAACCGGTGTCACAGTTCACAGTCGCGCATTGTAAAACCACTCCCTAAATATCACGCAACATATGACGTCACAAGTAAACGAAAGAGTAGAACAGGTGCATTGAGTTAAATGGAAAGTTTATCTTAGCTCAGTAGTACATCTTAAGGATAAGACTGCAGCAGTGAATGAAAAAAGAAGAAAAAAAACAATCAAATTACAGGGTTTTTTTTAAAAGAAATAAGGAAAAAAATTTTTTACAATGAGACAGTACTCGTGGACAAAAAATTCATGCAATGCATATTTATCAAGAAGAGAAAGAAAAGTAATTTAGTCTGAAGAAATGTTGATTTTGGAGAAAAAGAAGTTAACTAAATCACGTGACATTTTTAGTAAAGAGAAATTTCGAGAAAAAAATTAACTTAAAGAAATGATTTTACGAGTGAATAGTTACAAAAAAGAAAAGAAGTTGCTGAATTAGTAAGAGAAACAAAATAGGATGCCTTTTATCCCCCCCTTCTTTTTCTTTAAAATTTTCAAGAACTCTAAATAAAATTACCATACAAAACGAAATGCGTCAAGACAAAGATCCAATGGTTTTAAATGCTTTGTGAAACATATCTAATTTGGTACTTAAATTATCCAATAAATCGAAAAAAATGAGAATTAAGTTTTTTTTTTTTAACATTAATTTAAATTGAGATTGAAAAACTTTGCAATCTAGTCGAAATTAAATAGAAAAATCACATTTAATACCAAACATACCAACACTTAACAATAAAATACAACAAACCGGTCAAATAAATTTTGTCCTTTCACCGGTTACACTATGTTTAGTGTTAACTAGTATAAGAAATTTTATACCTAATTTTATTTTACTTCAATGTTTGACACTGAAATTATAACATTAAAGTTTTAAAATGTAAAGATAACAAATTTAAGGTGTCAAAAATTTAAAATTGAGTGACCCCTACCTATTTTTGAGAAAAGTTTCCTTACCTAAAAATTTTGCGGTTTTTAATACAATAATATTGTTATAGAACCAGCCACAAATTACACAGTGAATGAGGAAAGAAAAGATATCTTTTAACATCGCAATTTTTTTGTATAATCATCTTTTTTTTTTTATATGCAACCATTTTCATAATTCATAATAAACATATTAGAAGGAAAATATTCGTTAATAAAGATAAATTTACTAAAATAACACTTAAATCTGCGATTACTGTTAATATTAGATTACTTCCAATTAAAGATTTTGTATAAATGAAAGAAAGAAAAGAATTTTTTAATAGTGAACAAAATCAGAACGTGTACGACGAAAAAAAAAAAAAAATCTTTCAATCGATTTTTTACATTAATTGGAAAATTTCTAACAGTTAAAAATGTAACGAGTTATTTATTGCATCGCGCTGTTAGATATTTTCGTATTAATATTTGAAGAAAGAAATTCAACGAGCATATCATAGTTTTCAAAGAAAACTGAGTTATATATACGGTGGTATAATTACAATAAAAAAGGTCCAAAACAGAAATAAAAAGTTAAAAAGACAGTACTGTAAACAAGTCTTCAATTAAAATTTGCATCGCCAAGTACCATCATTTCTATATCGGTTAAACCCAACAACTATACATAACTGATAAATTGACAATATACTTGTAAATAGTACCGAAACGGCAGTTATTTTAACTTTTCCATTTGATTTTTATGTGCTATTCCTTAATTTAACAAATATATTTTTAACGAAAACAACGATCTAACAAAGGGAATACTATAATATTATAAAAAAAATAGAGCTAACTTTGCGATGGAGAAGAAAAATAATCTCTGAAGTATACATAAAAAAGACAATCACTGCAGAAATATAGAATCAAATTATTTATTAAATAAAGTTATTTTCTTATTACATAATTATCAGCAAAATAAACAACCGCATAACTGAAAAATAAGGATGTTTGTTTATAGTATCGAAAAGGCTGCCTAAATTTTTTTTATTAGGTTGTCCTCGATCGCAACAAATATAAATAATTAATGATATCATAACAAACCTAAAGCACAAAGTAAAAAAACGTAAGATTGCTTCAGTGCTACAAAATCAAATATATTACATAAAATCATTATCCCGGCATATAAATAATCAGTTAAATAAAAAAACCGCATAACTGAATATTTAGCGATATTTGTTTATAGTATCTAAACGGCTGGGGGTATATTAAACTTTTTATTTCTTCTTTATAAGTTGTCTTTTACCAAAACAAATATAAATTTAACTTAAACACTTACTTGGTTTTGAAGATTTATATTTAGCCAGCAATCGAGTCACTCCGCGTACATCTTCGGCTTTAACAGCCAATAACAAATCCGTTTCTTTACCCATATTTGACAATGACAACATACTGTCGCAGACACACAAATCAACTTCAAAATTGCACGTAATCGGACGAAGGCTTTAAATCCATCGGACGATGTTCAAAAAACGAGAAGAAAAATAAAATAAAAAATCTTCGCGCACAACACTTCTTGTAGTCAGTGAACTTGTTCCCCTAGACTTAGAACAACCAGTTTCAGATGCTGTTTACTTCGTATTTAATCCACAATTTATTTCCTGAATTGATTTTGGTGGAAAATATTCATAAAAGGCTCAGGTAATCCAAGATCAGATACCGAAAAATAAATCGTTTGATTTTTTTGATCACGACGCTGTTTTTACCGTGACAGGTAAAAAAGCCATCGCGAGTGATGTTTAACAGCGTAGCCCTCACATTCACTCAGTGTCAAAACTCTGACTGATGTTATTGTTGGCTTCGCCGATCTCGCATCGTGCGATTTTGAATTCCAAGCGCATGCGCAAGGAACGCCAATAAGAAAATAGCGTCGTTTTTTCCGCGGGCTCTGATGTTTTCCTCCTCAGTTAAGATCTTTTTCTTCTTCTTTCTTTTCATCTCCTCAGAAATATTTAAGAATTCTTTTAAATTATTCCAGCAAAAGGTTATTTTTATTCACATAAATAACATGTTTAATAATAATACTTAGTAGCGCATTTATTTATTTTAAACATCTTAGAGAAGAAATAAATAGTTTTCTGACTTTTGAGCCCATAGGGTAAAAAGAAGAAGAAGAAAAACATTACATTGCGAAAAGAGGAAAAACCAATAAGATAAACAAAGTAAATGAACAATAAACAAGAAACAAACTTTATAAAATTACATTAAATACACAAACATTTACACAATCATCACAAACATTTTCTTCTTAAATAAAGGAAATCTGAATTAAATGTACAGTTTAATTACATAAGATCCGGATATATTTTTTGTTCTAAATTTAAATAAATAAATAAACAAGCAAAAAAAAAGGACAGTTTGAGAAAAAAATAAACCAAAGAAAAAAAACGGGGAAATTAAGAAAAGAGAGGAAGGAAAATTATAGGGTATAGATTTTGTTTTTTAGAACTACAGATGATTAAAAATATTTTTGTTTAATTTCTGATGCTTCTTCTCAAATCTTTCAAGAGCAGAAAAATCTTTGATGTGTCCCCCACCTAACCCTGTATTGGTAATTTAAGAAGTTAAGAGGCCTCTCTGTTACAAGCAAATTAAGCAAATTTTATTGTTTATTTTTTTAGCGAGACAGTTGAATGTATGAAAATTCTGAAAAGGTTCTTTATTATTATAATTATTATCAAGGAATTATTTTTATAGATATATCAAAGAACTGTAAAAATCAATTTTTTCAAAGCAATACAAAACGAAATGGCACATTACTCCTCTGAAGAATTTTTTTAATCTTTTTTTAGCGAGATAATTGAAGAAAGGAAAATTCTGACTAAGTCCCTTATGTGAACTGTAAAAATCTAATTCTCCAAGGCAATGCAAAACAAAATGGTGCATTTCGTCCATGAACATTTTTCCTTACCAAACCAACAGCTTTTAAAAAAAAATTTACATTTTAGATTAGAAACAAAATTGCTATTGGTTTAGTTGCAAATAACTGCAGAAGTACGCGTACCTAATTTTAAAGAAATGGCAAATGTAAAAACAAAAAATTATTTCCTGGAAAAAAAAATTTCCTAAAATTTATTTATAAAAAATAGCTTTGCTATAAAATGGTGCAGTTCTATACACTTTTGCTGAAGGATTAATTTTAATTACATAGTTTAAACATGGAATTACGAAGTTAATGGATTGAAATTTGTTCGACTTATGAGTTCAAACGATATGAAAATGAAGCATATGAAGTTATCACGTACGCAATGAGCAATTTGAGTACAAAATTCACAATTTGAAAACTACGATATTTGTCTTGCTAATAAAAATTGAGATAGAACGTTTTTAAGGTAGTTGGGTACTTGTAAAAAATAATGTAAAAAAAACAATTTTTCAGTATCTTAAAGTTGCGTAATCCCTTGAAAACCTTAGAATCGTTGAATTTGTCATTGATAATTAAAATCCCTTGTCTCAAACTATTTAATTGTCCTCTATTTATTTTCCTTCTGTATCTTCGCGTTTTCTTATTTTTCAGTTTAAATTCCGAAGTGTCAACAGATCCTTACTTTCCCTCATTAATTACACAAAAGCAGAGTTTCCGAACTTTTATCAACATTGAAGTAGTTTATAAAATTAAGAAACTTCCAACCATCGTTAAACTTTCTTCATTTAAATCTACCGTTTAAACTTTCTTAAATTGATCGCCTATCTGTTAATGAGCGTTTTTTAAATCAATAGTATTTTGTTTCACTGCTCCAGTATCTATTAAAAGTAGCGCAACAGTTATTTTTAAAACACGCGTTCCGATGCTACATTCCAAAAATAACTCTTTTGAGAAACTATTTCAATTCAATTAGACAGATTTAACCATGGAAGATTTTCGTGGTATTCCTCCCCATGCAACCCAAACGTGGGTTAGTTTCATCAAGAAGCCATCCTTAAAGGTTAGTTTGCCCCAATGCTTGATCCAGGAGTTTACATTCCTTTAAGATTGGGTTCAAAATTATAAGGCTACGGAGTGGCTTATTTATACTCTCAAATTCAGAATTCGACTGTTCAATGTCGGTATTTAAATTTAATAAAACACGGCAAATTCGTTCGAATTCCAGCTGTGGCAGGTTGATGCGAAATCTGCTCCCAGCTCGCACCGACCATAGTGCGGACGTAAAATATCTTCGGTGGTAGACGGATTATGGGTTAGAATCCTCTGGACGTCGGGTTAACAGTGGGTGGGTTTCGTGGTTTTTCTTTCTATGTACTCAAATGCAGGTTAGTTAAATCTAAAAGTCCTCCGCGAAGACTAGTTCGTCCCAATGATTGATCCAGGAGCTTCTTTGTCTTTTGGGTTGGGTTCAAAATTACAAGATGTAAACTCAGAATTGGCTGTTCTATGTTGGTTATAAATTAAAATACGACATATTTTAGAATCTTGGTGTAAGGGTTATTTTTGATAATAAAATAAAAACTTCAACAGTTCTGATCTTTATTTGTTCATAAAATATCAACAAGGAAATTAGAAAACAATGAAAATTATGTTAGCATCATTTTCAGTGTTAAATGTAAGTAAGAGGTCTTTCAAGAATAATAAAAATTTTGCGAAAGAAAAAAAAAGTAGAAAATAATAATTCTCAATTTTTCGCAACAGCCTGGAAAAGCTTTACTTCAGGGATTTTATTCCTAAGGCTCATCTTTTCATTTTCCTTTTCTCACTTCCCCCTCTCTAACTCTCTGCTCTATTTTTATCGTTTTGTTTTTGAAATGCTCATCTTCCTTTCTGTTTTTCCTGTGCAGTTGATTGTTCTTCATTCATTTTTCTGTGTGCATTTTTCTCCCATTGTATTTTTATCTGCCTGATGAAGCGAAGTCTGTTTTTATGAAGCGAGTATTTTTATTTTCTTATTTAAATACTAAGTTGTCCTAAAAAATAGACATTCTGTAATCTGAACTTGGTTTCCGTGATTACGAATTTCACTACAAGATGGCGCTGCAAATAAGAAAAAATAGTAAAATTTATTTTTCACTGCACGTGAGATCGATAAATTTTCCTTAGTTAATAGCGCCATCTATTGGCGAATTTGTAACCTAACTTAAAAATGTTATGAAATAATTAGATTGGTTTCCAAAGCAATTCCTTTCGTTTCTTCCTTAATTTATTTTTGGAACACCTGGTAGGCGATAAGTTACTCATTAAACACTGTGCATGGATCAAACTCTATGAGTATAACATAATATGATGCATATTTCTAAAAATGTCATACATGTGAAAATTTGCTATCGTTTTATTAAGTGCATTCTTCCTGTGGTCAAAACAAGTCAAAGCGCATTATAACATTTTAATTTTAAAGAGAACACAATACATAATAAAATATATTCGTAACTCTCTGAAATATAGTGTGATCCAAAATTAAATAGGGCTATAGTATCTCCGTAGGAGAAAATATATGTGGTCGTTGAATTTTACACCTCATATTTCAGTTCATATATTATATTATATTATATTATATTATATTATATTATATTATATTTATATATGTTTATTTATTTATAAACTGATTCACCCGATAATTAATTCACTCGCCTTTTTACTGATTGGATGGAGAATTAATGCGAGCATTGACTGTATCGCTGATAAACTCATTCTTTGGTTTATCGATTTAATAATACGCCGATTTTCTGAATCCCTTATTCAGTATTTCCCCTATCGCTCTTTTTCTATTTTCTTAACATGATAACAACGTACCATTCTAAATAAAATGCTTTTAAATTTTTTTTAAAAAAAGTAGTCTTAAAAGTAACTACAATTCAAACAAACATGTCCAACATCGACAATTGTCTAAAAAACTATAGCAAAAGGGATACGATTGTCATAGTAACAGAAAATCTAAAAAGACTTAATTAAGAAAAGCTTACTAAGATACATTTATTTATCTATAAAAACATGTAAGTTTGTTTCTTAACCTCTGAATTACCTGAGTGGAATTATTTGACCATCTTCTATTTGAAACAAAAAAAGAAAAAAAAAAATGCTTAGAGTTTAAAACGGTTATGCCGATGTTTAAGATATGATTACATTAACAAAATTTCGCAATATTTAACTAGCAACACCAACTCTTTTTCATCGAAACGTGAACCTCGCGACGAAAATAGTTTAAATTAGAATTGAAACAGTACTTTTAGCCTAAAAAGACAGAAGCGCTAAGCAGGGATTGAGAAAAGAGTTACTTATAAAATTCCATTGTGTCAGCGATTCGATTCCTTTGATCGCCTTTGACAACGTGAAGAAAGTAAAAGTGATCTTCACTTTCGTGTAAAAGTGAAGATCACTTTTACACGAAATGAAAATGTGTTTTGCCATTAGAAATTTTCGAAAATCTGTCTCTGTAACAGTAATATTAACAGTCAGGCCGGGTAACTTTCCTTAGTATTATTCTAGAGTACATGCATTGTAATAAAATACGAAATTCCACAAAATTTTAAATAAATTTTTTAAATTTTATGCAATATTTCTTATTATTTTCTCGAACTATATAATTTTTTTGTAAGCTGTTTAATGTGCTGGCAAAGTCAGGTTACCATCACCGTGTATGTATTCCAAACTGCAAAAAATGGGAAAGAATAGTTTTAAAAAAATGAACAATTAAAAACCAACTTAAGTTGTTATTGTTATTGACCAAACAGTTCATCAAATGTTTCAAACCCAGCAAAAACATTTCTGCATTTCTTTGGAGTAAGATGTAAGCAAGATAAGACTTCGACGTGACGACTAAATATGTCACCATCATTAGAGAATCTTATGTACTTA